TTGAGCGCGCGCACGGCATCCGGTGCGTGAGGTGTGTACGCGCTCTGGCGTAGTTTACGTTAATGGGTGTGTTGATATCCAGCCGAAGAGCAATCAACCATAACTTCAGGCGAGCAGGCTCAGAAGTTGGAAATACGTGGAACGTCACCACTCCCGAATGAGTTTGCGCGAGAGAACGTAATCTTTTAGTTTTAAGTCGGTTTGAACAATCCGGATAAGTGCAAGTAAGTACCATTTTGATTAGCCGTCGTACCTACAATGACTGTGCACTGTGTAAACAATGAGTGACATATACGCGTGAGAGATCACTTCCGGCGCTTGCGTAAACTACGCCAGAGCGCGTACACACCTTCACGCACCAGATGCCGTGCGCGCGCTGAAGGCAGTTGGACATAGTGTTGTATTAGAGGTAAAAAATTATATAAATACTGTTCGGTTTCTGGCACAAACCGATTGTTTCGTGTCTTAGGACATCAATGTGTCGTTACGAGCCGCAGGGTTTAATTTGGATTTGTCTGTGCATGTTTTTTTTACTCTCATAGATTTTGTTACCATTGCCATGCATTATATGACTGATAGACTGCAACGGTTTGAGTTAAAAATCATCAAATGTGTTCTACTGAAGAAACAAAGTCACCGACATCTTGGATGCCCTGGGGGGTCAGCAGATAAATATCACATTTTCATTTTTGGGTGAACTATCCCTTTAAATCAGTGAAATGGGTGTGGCTTATAGAAGGAGGATGGAGTGGGCGGGGTTTAGAAAGAGACGCTTGGATCTCATCTGATGTTAGGACCGTCTGCTCACCTCAAGATCTGGAGGTGGAACGTATATGATCTGGTCGAGTCGGCCGGGTCTGAGCAGAGCACTGTCCAGAACCTCTGGTCTATTAGTGGCAGCCACGATCAAAACATCCTTATTACACACTTCCTGGAGTTCCATCTGAAATGTAAGTCACATAGAGACAGTGTTAATAGCACTTTAAAAACGACTCTTTCATTTCAGCTCTACACGTGCACATCCGTGAATCTCACACAGAACATGTTCAGGTCTTAATCCACTATAACAAGGGTGTCAAACTCAATTCCTGGAGCGCCGGAGCTCTGCAGAGTTTCGTTTCAACCCTAATTAAACGCACCTGATCCAGCTAATCAAGTCCTTCAGGCTGATTTGAAAACTACATGGAGCAGGGTTGGAACAAAGCTCTGCAGTTTGACACCCCTAAGATCAAAAGAAAAATTTGTATCATTAAGACAATGGAGCCTTGTATTTGTAACATTGTAACATTTTCTGAAAAAACATCACTCAGAAATGGCTAGTTATTGTAACAAAGAAACAGCACGTAACCACTTGCCACTTTGAAAAACCAGTTTAACACTGTGAATGCAGTGTAAGTTTGGATAAAAGCATCTGCCAAATGCATAAAGATGTAAAAAAAAATGTATAAAAAAAATCGTACTACTCTAATCATTCTCGTGACTGTAATGCATCCTGATGCATGCTGCGTCTCAGCGTACTACAGTAAAAAAAAAAAAATCCTGTCCAAACATTTATTTTCTTTAAAATATAGATTTTATATGTCGCTCTTTTGTAAGCTGCTTTGGATAAACGCGTCTGCTAAATGCATAACTGTAAATATAAATCAGCATAAACTGAAGACAGTACAACAGTCAGCATGGGATGAAATATGATCCAGACAGAAGTTTGACCTGCTGTAGTCTGGTGTCCTCCTGCTCTCCTCCTTCTAGCTGAGCCATCTTTCTCCCGGTGCTGCGTCTCTCCACACTCCGGATTCCCACTCCGTCCAGCTCGGTCAGCAGAACCGACAGAACCTGCGACTGCACGCTGTGAGAGGAACCGTCCGCTCGAGAGCCCACCATGCTGTCGATCTCATCCAGGAACACGAGGGAGGGAGCGCACGAACGAGCTTGAGCGAACAACTGAGAGACAGAGAGACGGAGAGATCATGCAGTCAGTCATCATCCTGCAACACGTTCATCAGCAGTTGCTTTAATGTAAGATCGTGTATAGATAGGTGCAGGGGCGGGTATGTTAAATGCCTTAATCAGTTGCACCAAAGCATTAAATCAACAGCTCTAAACAGAAGCACTGAATGAGAGTGATGTCAGACCTGCGCCAGTGTTTTCTCAGAGTCTCCCACATACGGAGAGAAGAGCTCGGCCCCGCTGAGGGAGAGGAAGGTGCAGTGTGATGAAGATGCTGCTGCTTTCACCAGCGTGGTCTTAGCGCAGCCGGGTGGCCCGTACAGCAGCACTCCTCGGGGCCGAGAAACACCCAACCGCACGAACGCCTCTGGAAACCTCATGGGCCACTCGATACTCTGAGCACAAACGTCAGACAGCAGGCGTTACTTACGTTACTACACAGAAGCAAAGTCATGCAAATCAGCCTGAACTAACTCTTATACCTGTTTGAGTTTGAGTTTGACATCGTCTAGTCCTCCGATCTGCTCCCAGCTGACGGGTTTGAAGTCAGTGGCTCCTATACTGCTCCTCAAACACGACGGCTGCACGATCCGCAGCGCCTGCATGAAGTGCTGCATCGACACCGGCTCACTCGCTCCCGCCTGAACAACATCAACAACATCTCAACAAGAGAGGACACAAGAGACTTCTGCTGCTAGAATGGATCTCAGTGACTGTACCTGCGACTGTCGCATGGCCTGCAGCGCTGCTTCTCTACTGAGCGCGTAATCTGAACTGAGCTGGATGAAGACATCACTGAATCAATGATGAACTGCCTTTAACTGAAAATTGAGTGTTTACTATTCTGTCCTTTTGCATTATTGACACTATTTTCCTAATTAATGCTGTACAGTTGCTTTAACACAATCTGTATTGTTAAAAGCGCTATATAAATAAAAATAAAAGGTGACTTGACTAAAACTATCTTTACTTGCAGTCATTCATAAACAATTAATAAGATGAATGAAAGTTCTGTCATCATTTACTCACCCTCAAAGTTGTTCCAAGCCTGTATGAGTTTATTTCTTCTGTCGAACATAAAAGAAGATATTTTGAAAAATATTGGGAACCAAACAGTTGTCGGTAGCCTTGACTTTCTATAGTTAGGAAAAAATACTATGAAAGTCAACGGGGACCAGCAACTGTTCTTTTGTGTTCAACAGAATAACTCATACAGGTTTAGAACAACGTGAGGGTGAGTAAATGATGGCAGAACTTTCATTTCTGAGTGAACTATCCCTTTAAGAACAATAGAAGACATCTTCAGGTTTTAGTTTCCTACAGTACGATAGACTCAAGATCCAGTGTGTCTCATAAAGTAAGTAAGTTTGATAAATGGCTGCGATTCAGTGCATCCGAATGAATCAAAATGAAACGTGAACCACTTTTGCAATTGCAATTGATTAGTTTGTTCAAAAGAGTGATTCATTTACAAATTTGGTATACATTTTTTGATTCTAAACACACATATGATAAGATTGCAGAAATATTATCAGAGAAAATTATTGTCAGGTCAGACGGATCAAAATGGCTAAAAGTGCTGTATTATGTATGCCAGGCCAGTAGTTGGCGATCTCACTTTGTAAAGAAACTTGCGTATGACTATAGACTAAACGCGTAATATGCATGTATATTATGTCACCATTTTCACAAATTCGTGTTTTTGTAGTTTACACAGAGACGATACTGGTATCGTTTCCAAAAACGTGCACAACCCGTTTTCAAAAGTTTCCATTTTTAGGCCCCCAAAATGCCAAAACGAATGGCCAAAACGCATAAAAGGTTTTCAGTTGTAAACGGTGTTGTGTAAACACCTCCTGAATTACCTCTCTGTCGAACCTCCCGGGTCTCCTGAGCGCTGGGTCCAGAGCGTCCGGTTGGTTCGTGGCTCCGATGATGACGAAGCCCTCGTGATTGCCGATGCCGTCCATCAGCGTCAGCAGCTGAGCGACGAGCCGGTTCTCTGGAGCGCCGCTGCTCTCCGTCCGCCTCGGGCACAGAGAATCGATCTCATCGATCAGCAGAACGCACGGACCCTCCTCCGCCGCCTCCCGCGCCTGATCAAACACGCGCCGCAGGTTCTCCTCGCTCTCTCCGGGTCGAGAACCTGTGACTTCCGGCCCGTTTACAGTCACTAGCGTGGCCCCGATGTCCCTCGCCACGCAGAGCACCAGCAGGGTCTTCCCGACGCCGGGCGGCCCGATCAGGAGCAGTCCTCTTGGGCACGACACTCCCAGCTGACGCAGAGTCTCTGGGTAACGCAGAGGAAACGTGATCATTTCTTTCAGCGAGGTGTAAACCTCCTCTAGGCCGCCCGGAGACGCCGCCGAGACCTCCTGACGCCTCTCTAAGTGTTTAACAGTCTGAGCAAGACTGACCTCCACATGAGTTCTTGCTGTAATCAAACCAGCTTTCTGCGAGCCCGAGTTCACCTTCTCAACCAGCACACACCTGATCTCCGTTTCCGCACCGGACAGGTCCACCAAATATCCCTGGTGCACATACAGACCCTCCAGCAGCTTGTGAACGCTCGGCTCGGAGACCTTCCGCTTGTGTTCTAGTCTCTGCACAAACACCTTCACGCTCACGCTGGAGAGTCTGGGGCAGGTCAGGGGTGTGATGTGCGCCGGTTTAACCGTGAGTCCGGTGAGTGTTTGTGCGCTGAGGTCCGGTGTCGCACACTGGGTGCTGATCTGCAGGAATCCCTCTGCGAGGTCCCGCCGTGGCCATGCGGTGCACAGACAGACCCCCCGCTGAACCCGGATCAGAACCGGAGCGCCCAGCTTCAGGCCTAACCCGGACATCAGAGCCGGACCCATCCGACAGCGCTGCGAGTCCCAGTCCACAGCGTCCCGCGGGAGCACCTTCAGACCCTCCACGTGCATCATCTCAAAAACCTACAGATAAACAACAGCTCAGCTCGAGAAGAATGGAAACCAAAGAACTGATACAGTGAGAGTGACTGCATCAAACGCACAATAAGAACAGAACTCCGTGTTTGCTCATCAGTCGATCTTCAATAACCCACATTACACTGTAAACAATGATATTCACAGTTGTTTTGTTTTGTTTACATAAAAAATTACAATTTGTAACAGCCAATTGATCGGAACAGCTGGCTCAGTCACAGATGAAAATCTATTAAAGCAATAAGCCCCGTGAAGCCGTGGTTTACAGTGAATTTATAACAGCTAAGGGGCGTTGTTAGCTTAGCCGTTATAAATTCACTGTAAACCACGGATGAATTAAATGGATATAAGTAAATATGAATAGAATAAAATAAACATACAAACAACAATACATTCATGAACTAATAAAGGAAGAGTTAAGCCAAAAAGTGATTATCTCCCTCAATAAAAGGAAAACAATTCATGCAAAAGTCTATTTTCAAGTCTATTCAAAATAATGTTGTGGTTGATAGTGTCAAACGCAGCTTTCTACAAATCTGTTCCCATGAAGAAACAAACTCATCTACATTTTGGATTTTCATTTTCATTGGGTGAACTGTTCCTTTAAGATCAGTGATGAGATCCAGGTTATGATGGAGGTCAGCAGAGTCATGAGAGAGATCTGTGTTTGACTGGATAAAGCAGTGTATTTTTACTCTGGGAATGTTTATTGTTTATACTTAACAAAGATTAGTTTATTATTATATAGAGACAAATATATGCATGTAAGGATCTGTGCGTGTGTGTGTGTGTGTGTGTGTGTGAGAGTGTGTGTGTGTGTGTGAGTGAGAGAGTGTGTGTGTGTGAGTGTGTGTGAGTGAGAGTGTGTGTGTGTGTG